TGCTCTGTGATTTCCATAGGCAACCTCCCAGCAAGCAACCACAGTAGTCACCTCAAAAGGAAACGGCTGAGAGAGAAGCAGAAGAGAGAGAAAAGTTTCGCTCTCCCAATGTATTAAATTAATTAACTGAAAGGGAGAGGGAAAGAAGGCCCATTTGCTACTTAAATTAGAATTTAAGGTTAGCAATAGTATTTCCTGGTTACAATTTAAAGATGTTATCATTAAAATTGATGAGAGTAATTAAAATTACTATTAATCAATTTATATCTTGAAGCAGGATGACTCAAACCCTAATGATAGTCCTGAACTAAAAATGTTATTGCCTTATTGATGGTTAAGGATTAAACATTTTATGATGTTTGTTATTAAAATTAGCAACGCAATTATAGCTGACTGATCAGCAAATATCGTGGCAATATGGACACAGGACCCGTAATTATTAAATGAAATTAAAATTCCAAATACGTAATTAATCGTGAAATCAGTATTAGTAACTTGTTATCCTTAAAGCTTAAACTTCTAATGTCGTTGTCTTTAAACCCTAATAGCGCCTATAATCAAATTTCATCAGTAAACACTGTTGCCATGTGGAAGCAGGAACTGCAATTAATTTGACATGAAATTAAAATTTCACATCTGTAATTAATTTATGAACTGAAATGTAAATTCCAAATTTGTAATTAATTATTAAATGTACTTCACAATTTCAGATCCTTACGTATAGCAAATTGATATTTACCGATGTCCATAAAATTATAAGGGCGTTATAGCTGAATTAAACAACGTAGCATTACAGTAAAACGGCCTAGGCTGGCCAGGATTAATTGTTAATAACACCACCACGGTAGCAGTTTACTGAGGATAGTACCACGCTGAAGTGGAAAAGCCAACCTTTTAAACCAACGTGATTATAAGTACTTGTGAGATCGCTCATCTGACGTTTTTGGTTAAAATCACGTTGCAATAAGGTTTATAAAGTTTGCATCTGTCTGTTCTTTTCAATGGGAGGAGAAGAGGAGAGAGAGAGATGAGAAAGGTAGGATGACGTCAGTGTGAAATAGCGAAAGAAATCAGATGTAACTGATCGAGTCCCTTCAAACACTGCGACACATTGTGCATGTGAGACCACACAAATGCTACATGCTAACCACTAGCCTTCAATGCTATTAGCTTGGCTCGGCTATCTGTTTACAAACAGCTCAAAATGGCGCTGGAAGTTCCCTCCGGAAACGGTTTCCTTCGACATCCGGTTTACGACTTGTTACTATGGCAACGTCCACAGCATGGCCTTCCTAGCTGTGGCTGTCAGTGAGA